TAGCAGCTGAAATATAGGCCTAATCATTATGCCAAAATAGACATTAGGGCCTAATTGACATTTGTTGACAACACGTCAGAACAAATACATAGCAACCACTAGAATCTTAGGGTGGACATAACTGTGTTTTATAGGCTATTTTTGAGGATGTAAGAACGGACTGCAATTGTGTGAACATTGTGATAACAGTCTGCAAATAAAATAATAAAGGCTGAAAACTTACATGAAACTCCTGAAGCGAAGTCATCTTTGTTGCCAAGAGTTACTTCTCTATTAATCTCTGATATAGCCTATAGCAGGCCGAAATTAATTCAATGAGACTAATTTCCTGTTTTTTTTTTTAAAATCTTCAAACGTTAAAAATATTTGTTTTGTCGATATTCGAATAACATTTTCATTTACCGGAAACTCGAGACTCAAGCATTTTAAATTTGCAGGAAAGCAAGGATGGTCTAAATCTATTGAGAATAATTTGAAAAATGAACGCAAGCACATGGTCAAATAACAACTTTTTAACAGCATTTTAAATTTGCAGGAAAGCAAGGATGGTCTAAATCTATTGAGAATAATTTGAAAAATGAACGCAAGCACATGGTCAAATAACAACTTTTTAACAGCATTTTAAATTTGCAGGAAAGCAAGGATGGTCTAAATCTATTGAGAATAATTTGAAAAATGAACGCAAGCACATGGTCAAATAACAACTTTTTAAAATGGGTGTAAAAATGTTTCCTATATGGTTCTGAAGAAAATCCCCAAATATTTAAGCTACAATAGAGACTTTTGGCAAGCGGAATTTTTTTCATCCGTATCACGTATACGTATCGTCACGTGATACCTTGCGTCAATGTAGTTTTAGAGTTTTGGCAGATTTTCGTGTGCGTACGTATGAGTAGCTGAGCTGAGCTTAGTTCTATTACAAGTGCCTGTCCTACAAATTTCTGAAGGGAGCACAGTTGCTGAGCTATTTAAAAACTTTAAAAAATTTAGTGTTGAATCTTATTAAAAATCTTGGACTTCAACAACAACTTTTTGGTTCACTAATGTATCATTTCAGAAAGTATATAGGCCTACCCTTTTTACACATTGGGACGGTCCCACCTCCCTAAACTTAGCACGTAGATCAACCGGCATGCAGACAGCAAAAATATGAAAATTTTGCGAAAAGCTCATCAAAAATAATGATTAAATTCCAGTCTTTATCATGGTTAAAATCACATCATCATACACCTTTGTATTCTAGGATATACATAGATTCATAAAAACACTACGGCACAATATTTTAGCGTCTAAAAGTAGCAAAAAATATGGTAAAAAGGACGATGGTGTTATACGGACCTTTTCCGTATGAAAGCTGTTCGGTACGTGCTGTCGTATCTGTGTGCTCTATCACATATGAGAAATACACACGCAATGATATCACACACAAAATCAATACGGATACGCGATAGGGACCAGAACTTTACGATTGCCAAAAGTCTCTAATATCGAGGTTTTTTGTTTACTTTATCGACGAGTGTTGATATTTTTTGATATCAAAAAAGACGAGTAGGAGATTCTCTATGTCTTCTCTCTCAAGATGACGTCTGCGGCCTCTAGTTGAAATCCAGGTTCTTATAATATATACATCCCATGCACGTGCACACCAAATTGTGTCTGCATTTGGGCGACCCATAAATGTTGATGATTTTAGGCATTCTCTGAATACAGTTGTGTGTGGGTGAGCCAAACCAATTTTAATAGTAGAAAAGTGTTACTGTGGCTGAATGTAGATAAATTAGGTTTGTTATTTCATGTATCTAAAAAATATCACAGAACACAAAAGCTTATTACCAGTTTTGCCACTTAAACTGTATCTGATTTGAAGGAAGTACATGTAGATTAGGCCCACTAGTAACTAGATATCTGGGGTTATGGATATACATGTATATTGTAACGACCATAAAACATTTGATTAAAATGGCCAAACAATTTGGTCATAATGGCCACACTAATTGGTCAGATAACGGCCAAATAAAATGACTATGATGTCTATTAGTTATTCATTCATTATTCATTATCAATCCAGTGATATTTATTTACATAAACTTAATAGACATAGAAATGTCTACAAATAAATTTGGTGAAATGAAAAAGAAACCATGTAATTTATAATTTTAAACAATCTATTTAAATTTTTGTAAATAATTTCTTACGGGTGGTGAATTTATGTAAGCTCTGCCAGATTCTGGGTTGTTTTGAAATACATTGTACCATAATTGCGTAATAATAAATATGTATTAAATAAACAGTTTTAAGAAAAAAAAACAACATATAGGTCATTTTCACTTGACGAATCATGACCGGACTTAGCAAATAAAGATAAGGGGCTAGTAGTTTGACTTTGATGTCGGTAATAGTTGATCATCGAAATGAAACTTACAATAAAATTTACATGTACATGTAAGTCCAAAAAAATTAATATTTTGTAAAATATATTGGTTTTGCATATATATGAATATTGTTTGGCCGTATTGACCAAATTCTGTCTGTTTTGATCAAACTGGATTTTGGCCGTTACGGTTTATGACCTTTAAGGTATATCCAGGCCATTAACTTTTTATACCTTGTCGGTGCATGTGGGATCTCCGCTGACCCCATGCACATGTTTTATAGTCTTTTGTAATAACTACTAGGCACAGCTTTCTGAAGTTTAGTAACTTTGTCTCCTATGCATTTTTATACACCCATATTATGCCATCGCCTTTGTCTGTCCGGACGTCCGTCAAGAGTTTGTTCATGGATACCATACAGGTCACAATTTTTATCCGATTTTAAAAAACGTTTAAATATATCACCATTCCACAGTTGAATTCAAATTTCGGGAAAATTGAAATGAAATGAAACTGCCTGACAAAATGGCCGCTAGCTCTTGGGCTACATGTATGTGTAGTGATGCCTGATACTAATATGACTAAAAAAAACTAGAACCCTTAAAAGAATTTCGGTGCTGCTCAGTCTGTGTGGATAATCGTGCAAATAATGAAGTTAAAAGTTAAGGGGGTTGGGGAGAGGGATCATGCAATGACTATCCCTAATGATGTATAATAGACTGTTCTAGATACCCTTTTAAAAGTTTGTTCACACATCTACATGTATATCAACCTATTGTATTAGTTTTGCATTTCGATAATTTTCAATGAAAACTACAACTGGGGTATTATATAGTTGGGCTGCTTTAGTGTGAGTTTCTGTATTTAATGTTTAGTTTCAAACCAATATTGACAAATTTTTAAAATTCGTCAAGAATCGTCGAAATGAATATTAGGTTCTTACTGTTGTGTAGTTTAAAATGGTCTGTCTAGAATAGATAATGAGTGTCAGGTTTACAACTGTTTACTTTCCTCGTCAGTCTGTTAATTTTGGCCTTAAACTGCTCTATAACCTGCTCTTGCATCCATTTCCGATCCATATCCATTTCGAACATGCCAATGGTAGCCTATACACAGGACATGGGAACAGCTTAAACGTTTTTATATGCCCACATTTTCATGTGGACGTACATTGTCATCACTCCTGTCCGTCCACAATTTGTTTGTGCAGTCGTTGTTGTTTGTATTTTAGAGGAGAGCCGAAAAAAGCTCCCCTCATCAACAAATTGGAAAAAATCTCTCGCCTAATAAAGCTCTCCCAGTTTCCATAAGAACAGTGATTTAGAAATTAAGGGGAGTGATCTGATATTAAGGAGAATGATTAGTTGTATGTATCGGGTAATGGTTCTGAAGATTAATAACTGCATGTAATAGGGTCAATCCTGGTTTTATAAATGATAATAAAGAGCGATTTTCAGTTTTAAGGGGAGGGCAAAAAACCTCCCCTCGGTCGACATTCTAGTGAGCGGCAGGCGCTTAAGAGCGATGGCTCGCCTTAAAAAAATAATGACTGTTTGTTGATACTCCACATGTCACAATTCTTATCCAATTTTGACAAATCTTGAAATATAGGTAGATCTCGTAAAGATCTTGGTTCCTTTCGATATTGGCTTGTATCAGATAGAAACATCATGGATTATGGCCCCGGATTGTACGAAAAATCACATTTTCATCTGATTTTAATGAAACTTGAAATGTATGTTTATAACCCAAAGGTTTGGGTTCCTTGCGATAAGCGCGCGCTGTATCATACGGTCTGTCATTGAGTCAACTGGCAGGGTTTCGATTCCCCGGTGGTATGTGACAAGGAGTATGGTCGCCTGTCCAACCTCGTGAGTTTTCTCCGGGTCCTCCCACTGCTAAAGACCCCTGCGCGCAAGCGAATTTTAAAAAATTAAACCATGTTAGTCCCGAAATGACCTATTTTGTGTCGAGTGGACGTTAAACCCCATTTCTCCCTCTCTTCTTGCGATAATCGCGCATATCGGACCGTAACTTCCTGGATTATGACCCCTGATAGCTTTTCTTTTTTTTTAGCTATTTCTCTGTCCATCCTTTGTAAAATGTGGGCATATTGGGCATGGCAACCGCTTGTTTTTCTTTTCTTATCCTCCTTCCTAAAGGGGAAATGAGATTGGAAACACCCCAAGAAATCCCCCTGTTTTTATGCCAGAAATGATATGGTACATTTGATCACTATCGGTAAAGAGCATTTCATGTAAATGTTAGGTTTAGCTTAGCTTAGGAACATATTACGTTGGAAGGGCATCAAAATAATTTAACAGTTTCTATGAAAGCTAATCATAACACTGTGGCTATTGTGCAGTTGCTGTTTGTGTTGCTTCTTGTATTCCCGTCAGAGGGTGTGTCGGGGGGGTTGGGTTTCCAAATGGTCTTGCGTCATAAGGCCTGTCATCGAGTCAAATGGCATAGTTTCAATTCCCAGCTTGTAGTTGTACATGACAAGGAGTAGGGTCGCCTTCCTGCACCCTGACAAGTGGAAACCATTCCGGAAAATCCAGAGGAACTTATTTGTCAATACAGGTCTTCCACAGCTCCCAATTTTTAAATCAAATAAAAAAATAAAGGTTGAAATATTCATGTCATTTTATTGGTCTATTTTTTTAATATATCTAGTAATAAATAGGTTTATATTTATATCAAGTGTAAATAATGTCTGTATTAACCACACACCCATATACAAATACAATATTATATGAACAATTCTTACATGTAAATACCCACTGAGTGATAGGGGTGGGGGAACCCCCACATTTACAAGGCTAAATTGAACTCCTACAATTTAATCCTTGCATTCATGAGCCAAAGTTTTTGTTTCAGTTAAACTGATTGGCTGGTGAGCATAATCAATATAGTGTACCAACCAATGAAAGCCTACAACAGAGGTAACTGTTGTAAATATCGCGCATTATTAACATGGTTTGCGAAATGTATTAAATTAGTCCTATATAATTTCTGAATACAAGGGCTGTGCTGGATTTACCCGTCAGCTTGGCATGCCGAGGCCTCAAGATCTATGTAAGGGGGTCTCTGACCAAGGGTATGATATTTTTGACACTGTCATACAGGCAATGTTGTCCTAAACATCCATTGTCATCCTCTGCTATGGTCAAATATGTTTACAACACACTTTCTTCTAGACGTGAGTGTACAAGAGTTAAAGTTATTTATAAGAGATTCATCACATGTGATACTGCCTCCTCATCTATCTAAAACAATATCAAATAGCAATCAAGCCCTAAGATTTAAATAATTGATTATTCTAAAATAAAATATCCACCTACATAATAATAAATACATCTCTTATATTTCATTCTCATGAAGGGATTGAAATTAACAACTTCAGTTTCCCACACTCAATTTCAGTGTCTGGTCAACCAAAATAATCCCGCTCATTCAACAATTAAAATCAAAACAATTCCCGTTGGTATGAAATGAAATGATCAAACACATTTTTTTTATAGGGTTCAAACTACTTCAAACTGTACACATTTGTTAATTTCTAACCCTTAAGGTCAATTTATATTCGGTCTTCTCATACCTTTGCAGGCTTCAAAGCACAGCTTTACGGCAAAGTTTTAGCATCGCAACGTCTTCGCAACTTAGTTCAACTTCTTTGCTTGCTCAAACCATCGCAGCCAATCAGCAATAAGACGTCTGCTGTGATGCATCGAACAACACGAGAAGACCAGCTTCGCTTGGCTTTGTTCACTATAATTGGCAGCTTTTGAATTTTTTCGCTTAACTTTGTTTTGCCTTTAAATGTTAAGAATCTGCTATTATTTATATATATATATATATTTATCACTTTAATAAAGCACCATGTTTTATATTATATAAATCTACATTGCATACATTTTCTATGTACAACTTTAAATACATTCTAGCATTTCACCTAATTTAAGCTTCATATATCTTTTTGTTAAAGTCCCTTAATGTTCAAAAACAAACTAATGGTAACTAAGCAATATATTTTATGCAATTCCTTCATTTCCATACAAATAATAAAAGGACATGGACAGTCATCAGGAATAAAAAAGATCTTTCACAAATCAGCAAGTAATAAGTAATAGAAAGCTGCAGTATATTGCTGATCTTGCTGTATTCTATGGGAATATAATTACTGAGCCACGTTTTAAGACTAGAAAATCAATCTTAATCGTGTCATTTCAGTAATTCTAGTATGGCAGAAATCACGAATTTGATTTATACATGTACCTACAAGTAAGTGTAACTTCAAGTCTATTGAAATTACTTCAAGTAATTAATGTTAAACAATAATGTTACATATTGTAAAATTGAGAATAAATAAATAGATGTAGTATCAAATTGAAATAAATGACTACAAAACGAGAGAAAATGTTGACCATAAATATTTTTTTTTTTTTTTTTAAATATTGAAAGAATTAAATAATTTTTTTTTTATTTGATTAAAACTAGGAAAGACAATATAATAAATAGACATGAATAAACTGTAAAATATGAAACTGATGCCATCATTAGAGGAACAACATATAAATTCTTCTTCTAACAATCTTTTCTAAAAATAACGATTGACTGGCCCTTTAACATGGATTAGCCTATCACCTGATGATGACCAACATGGATTATTATTAGCCTATTAACTGTTCACCCACATTGACACATTAATTTCCTGTTTAACAGTATTTCTTACAAAATCTAATTCCTCTCTCATTAAATTAAATAGGAATAAAACTAAATGAGTCTATTTTATGAGTAATTTATATAAGATACAATCTAAATTCATCTAAGCTTTCCTAATACATTGTAAAGTTAGTACTGAAAAAGATCTTAAGAACAATCTTGGTAGAAATAAGATAAAACTAACATTAGGCAATAATAGAATTTAAATATACATCTTTATATGAGCTACGTTCACAGTTTATACATTTTGCAATTACTAGTATTGTAGGAGAATCCCTGATAGTCAATAAACCTGGTTAATTTTGTGTGGAACGATCTTAGAATGCTTTGTTCCAGTCCTAAGCAAATATCTGAAACTCTTTTGATACTAGTTCTAGCAATCTACAGTAGTGACTGGATAAACCCGACTAGAACCTCTGTGAGAGACAACGTCAGCTAACTTTAGTTTTAGTTAATTTTGCAGGTTATTGCATTTTATTCAAATTGTCACATATGTCGGAGAGCTCAAGAATAGCTACGTAACTGGTATGAAATGGCTAACCGGTATGAAATGGCTAACCGCTCAAAATATTTTGAACTGAGACTTTAAGAATAGGTAAATAATATATTTTTTTACATTTCAGCATGGAGCTTAAATTTTACATGCAAGTATGTCTAATGACCTGGAAATAAAATTAAAGTATGGGACTCCAATTGCAAGGTAAACAAACTCATGTTGTTTACTAAGCCCATCTCGCTCTTTCACGTTGTCATGGTAATACCAGTGCACATCCAGTAGCCTACTAAGGCCACACGAAAAAAATATTCTGGTGTCAATGATTTCCGCTCGTTCAGATTTCCCGCGATCAAGGGAAGTAACTCTACTGAACGTTTCTTGATAACAGGAAATGAGCACTAAATTCGGCTATCAAGTACATGATTGACAACCACAAACGGCACTGGGTAATCGAATGTTATTCGCAAAGATGGCGACAATTTTGCTGTCGATCCATCTTTTTTTATGATCAAAATGTTTTATCTTTCCCAAGAAACATGACTGTGAGAGAGATGACCGAAAATATTCTCCGAGTGGAGATTGAGGGCACAGACTTCGATTTAAATCCTCAGCAAAATATATGCTTTAAGAATGAGTACAGTTTTGATACCACATAGCTCTAACAGTCGCAAAAATAAAACCTTGCAGATTTGAAAACGATTTTCCATGAGTTAATGTAAATAGATGATGTCAAGGTAATATACGGCTGTTATTTCAAATTCTTATATTTTGTTTTCTTATTAAGAGCTGAATAAATATTAAATTTATAATAATTTAGTGTGTTTCTAAAAATATAAAATTGTTTTAAAAGGGTTGTCTGAAAACCAGAATATTGTTTTGTGTGGCCTAAATAATGGAGACTACATGAAACTTAAACTATAACACATACTTATGGTAAAACAGCTACTTATTTATTTGGGCGACGTTTCGAAAAGTATTCTCTCAATGTTATCAAGCTAATACAGTAGCTGGTTTTCCATAAGTATGTGTTATAGTTTATTGCTCTATCCAGTTACTAAATGCCTCTCAAAGATTACATGAAACTGGAAAACATTTAAAAATAATCTTAGCATAAGACATGTATTTGGAAAAAAAAATATACTTAGTTACTTGATACAATTTTTTTAACACCCAATAATTACGAACAGTCTGTAAATAACATTCCCTGATGGCATGATCTCAAAAAGTAAGATCTGGGAGTTATAATGTTCGGGCTAGCACCCTCGGATATATAATTAATAATTTTACTTTTCAAGATCAACACCAAGAGAGTACTGTGGAATATCTAGAAATTGAAATAAGACTAGATGTCAGTCATAAAGACAATAAAATCTAGTAAATGAAGTAAAGTTAGATGTTAACCATAAAGACAATAAAGGTTGGACACTGACTTTGGACTGTTCCACGTCCTGTAAAAGACTTAATTCCTGTCACAAAACAGTAAATGAAGTAAAATTAGATGTTAACCATAAAGACGATAAAGGTTGGACACCGACTTTGGACTGTTCCACGTCCTTTATAAATTCAAACTCAATTCCTTTCACCACAAAGGGGTAAGTCTATATACAGAGGATATCAATAATAAGAGTTTACTGCCGGATAGTTTTCAAGAGGGTACAGTTGAAACTGTTGAATATCAAGTAAGATAAGATAGATAAAATACACCCAAAATATCTCCTAATTAATGATATGTGAAACTTTGTAAGAGAAAGACCAGCTTTATCTAGTGGTTATTATGCTCATAATAAAAACACATTTCACCATAATTTAATGAAAGACATCTTTAAGAATCCTGGGTTTTTCCTTGTTTCCCAGTATTTACTGTTATATTTATATACATCCTTATCACCTCCGATACTTTGTCTGAAAAAACCCAAAAAAAACCAGAGTAAAATCATGGCCAAATCTACAATCTGATTAAAACACAGATCCTATTTCGTTTCGTTTTTTATAGTTCATAATTTCGTTTTACTTGTCTTTACTACACTAGGATCTGGAAGAGTTGTTATCATTGACGTGTTCTGGATAATGCGAGGGATTAGCCAATGAAATGGTCTGTTACGGCAAGCTTTAGATGTGTTTTGCACGGAACTGTGGGTAATCCACTAGTAACATCAATGCTGAGTGGTTAATTATATGTCTGACGTCTTCGGTCAAAAACTGCTCGTATGACCTCTGACGCGACCTATCGCTACAACCGGTCAGATCTTCATGTAGTGTAGTCCATCGAAAGTATAAAAAAATGAAACGAAATATAGATTTGTATTTTAATTAGATTGCCAAATCTGTGACTTTTATGTAGGCCTACCATGAAATGAAATAAGAGGTTTAACGATCTACTTGTCTGCATCAAAAAGGATAATAAACATTGGAATATGCAGTGCCTGACCTAGATTTTCTACTTTCAACTGTCAGGGGATCTTTTTTTCACCCGATTCAGACACCTTAACTTGCCAGACAGTCCAACCTGTAAAATTGACCAGGTGTAACCAGACTGAAAAATTCTGAGTACATGTAACTTTCTGAGCTAAAACAGGGATTGAACCTTGGACGTTCTAGTTAATGAGCTAATCGTGGTTCCCTTATATATCATATATTTATTGTACAAAACATTAAGCTGTATAAAGTTATCTCCCCCTTCAAAGTTATATTTCCTGCTTTACCCCCCATGATAAACCTTTGAATGTAATTAGTCTATGACATTACACACGTGACAATGGAAGAATATCCATAGTTTAGTATTAAAATCACCTAGGGATTGTGTTAAGGAGATATTAACCTCCATTGCTATCCTTATCAAACTGGATATCAATTTTTCCTTTCTAAATCCCTAACATTTTACCGTGTTCACAACGAAAATGCAACCCTCCTCGAAATGATATGCTCTATATCTACTGTAACAATGAAACTAATGACATACCTAAACCACAGTGGCTCGATCTCCTTATCATCACGCTTTCGTCTTTCACGTTGTAACTGTTCAATTCTAGATTTCTCATACTCCGCTTCCTGTACTTGACCTTCTTCTAGCATTCTGTAATCAGAAAAATACAAAACTTTATATGACCATAGCTGAGATGACTCAACGAGTAAGGCACTGGCAGACTCACTAACCAAAGGTTTCAATTCCAGTGTTGACAGAGAAAGTTTCCTCGAGATTTTCCAACCTGGCTTTTCCCTTGTCAGTGGTGCAGGATGGCTTTTCCCTTGTCAGTGGTGCAGGATGGAGGGTCTGGTAAGGACTGCTTCTAGTTGTTCAGATGGGACGAAAAACCGAGGCCTGTGTACACGATGGAGTGCACATAAAAGACCCAGTCTTCAACAGCCCAGTTGGACAGCAATTGATCTTGTCTCATTTAGATAAAAGACAAATCAGACATTGGTTAGAAAACACATCAAGGAGGAGAAGGGAAGCTAATATCTCTGATTGTATAGAGATTCAGAATCAGACATTGGTTACAAAACACATCAATAGCCCTGTTTACACTTCACCGCGATAAGCACGGTACCTGGCCAAAATAAATTTCAAGAAATTGACCTGTTTACATTACTCTACATTACAATAACCGGTCTTGGAACCGTGCCAGGCATGCCAAATGTGGAACTCTTCACAGAAAATTTAATTTCAGTCCCTATGCAAATGACACGGATGAAAACAATTATGGCTGTTGATTTAGTTCAGGCAGACATTTTGACAGAACAGTCAAAGTTCGAGGTAAAACACAGGTCAAGGTTCATTTGGTGCATGCAAAGTATAATCTGTACTGAGAACCGTTCTCAGACCAGATAGCAATTACACTACGAAAATTTAACCGTGCCGTGCCAAGACCACCTCACTTCAGTGGGACAAATTGTCACAGAACTCATTACAACACGCTTGCTTATGTTTGACCCGTTTAAACTACAAAATTATTAACCATGCCTGGCACGCTTAAAATTTGTAATGTATTCAGGGTTATAGAGAAGGGAAACTATTCTTTGATGTATACAGATTCAGAATGGTTACAAAACACATCAATGAGAAAGGGGAAACAACTCTGATATGGAGATGCATGATTGTCAGTCTGAGTTGTTCCATGTTGCTGGAATCAGAACAACTTAGGTTCGTGAGTGGAATCGTGACATAATTTAACACAACAAATATGTCCCTGCCGTAATAGTTGGCCGCGTTATTTTAATATGGAGTTGGCTCATGCGTTATAACCCAAAATCCCTTTTTTCACTCAATTCTCGGTAGTTTTGGGATTAAGCGTTCAATCGAGTACCCCAATAAGTAAGGTTAGCTTACCTCTGATCTGGTCTAAATCGTGAATCAGTTGGAGGAAGGAATCGAGCTTGATCATGATCCAATTCATTTAATTCTATAGCAAATCTTGTAAAACCATAATATAATTCATGATCAACTGGCATAGCACCTAAAAATATACATTTACAGTCTCTATCCATCATCTGTGTTTTTTGCAAAATATCACAAAGCATTGTCGGAAATAAATTAAGAATTTACTCAAAATAGTTGGCCTTATTTTAACTAAACTATAGCCCTTTATAAAACTCTTGTTGTTTTAATGTGTCTAATACACCAATAAGAAACTATGTGCAAATTTTTGTGTTGCTGGATCAGGGCCCGGTTCCTAGAAAATTCTTAAAGTAAGCACAAAGTCATGCTTCACTTTTTCTTACGTAAGAAACTTTTAAAAATACCGTCCCTAGAAAATTCTCAAGACCATTCTTACGAAAGCACAAGTCAAGTATAAGTCTAAGCACATTGTGACTGGTAAAGTTTACCATAAACTGAGACTACGATGCTCTTTAACGCCATAAAAACAACTTTGGTATGCGAATTAGGTCATAAATTTGTCGTCTGCTTCATTGACGCCATATATATATATATATGGTTCATTTCGATTCATTTGACCTGTCCCCTATACACATATAAACTGTGCCACAAGATAAAAAAACGCAGACACATACAAACTAACTGAATAATTGTGAGAGCGCCTGATCTTAAAGTAGCCAGTGTGTTTGTAGCCAATTGTTTACTAATTGGCAAATAAATAAAATGGTTTCAGGGTAGGCCTAGAAGCGAAATTTTCTATAGCATTCTTAATTTGAAATTTCTTCTGGAGAAGGATTTTCTCTGTCTTGTAATTGTCTTTTTGGTATCAAAAGGGGTCGGAAATGCCGTCGAATAACTCTACGGTCAGCCATCTTTTTGAAGCAGAAACAGACTTAAGGTTGGTAAGCAAGCCGTATACCTTGCTTGGGACTTGTGCTTAGATTGACTATGTTTAAGAACGAAGTTGTGCTTAAGTTTTTTCTTGGAACGCATAATAACGTTCTTGTGCTTACAATGAAGTCGACTTAAAATCTAAGCACAAGAACGTTCTTAAGAATTTTCTGGAAACACAAAATAAGGTAAGTTTACTTAAATGCAAAGTCTAATTAAATCTAAGCACAAGAACGTGCTTAAGAATTTTCTAGGAATCGGGCCCTGAGATATTCCCCTAAACAGTGATTGAAAGTGAAATTAATTCTTAACTTAAGTCTGAGAATACTTTGTGAACTCGGGGCCCCGAGTCCCCCACTGATTAATTCAGATAACTAACTGTTAGTCACAGGATTAGTGGAGGTGCTACAATGGGATGGTATCAACAATGACCGTTGAATGGGCAGTTCTAACTACAATATTGACCACTGGTCATGTTAGAGGAGTGAACTTCTCCTCAGGAATTTATTATGGCTGCTTACAAGATGTCACTGAGTTGGTTGCGAGTACAGATTCTACTGTACTACCAATTGTCATAATCAATGCTATACACAGAACATTTACACTGAACGGTTCACACTTACCTGGTCTCCATATACAGGATGCTGATGTACCCTGACCACAGAATAATCCTTCATTCCACTGTCCAAATAAGGTATGAACAACTTTCCCTTCTAACGTACATATACTACCACACACTTCATGACGTTTGGAAGACCAATGACTAGCCTGGTAGAAAAACACAGTGTTCATTTAATAATAGATGGCTTGCAATTTACAATACAAAAAAATCTGGGAAATTTTGCCTGGACTGCAGTTCCGTGTCAGGCCCTCTGTCATACACCAGGATCGAAATGAAATGAAATGAAATGAAATGGGGTTTAATGTCCTACTGTCACCCGGATCGAACACGGGACCTGCAGTTTATTGAGCCAACATCTTACTCATTGAGCCACCGTGACACCATCACCATAAATAAACATACTGCGTACCTTAGTAAAAGTTAATTTGCATACAATATTTCCATTGGTTATTTTCATTTCTCCATATTGATCCACCCATCGTTGACCTCCAAGTAAATTATGAACACATGTTGTGACTTTATTCCATCGATAATGATCATTATATCTGAAAAATATCATTAATAATAAATAAAATATCATTTAGAATAGCACTTCCCTCTCTTTCCCTAGATCCAACACTATAACTCAGGTATTATTGGGTTTCTACTGTTGTGTAGTTTAAAGGTTCTGTCTAGATTAGACTAGTCAGACCCTTTAAAATACACAACAGTTTAATAAAGGGTCTCTTTAGACTAGACTAGACTAGACAGACCCTTTAGACTACACAACAGTAGAAACTTAATTGTTTTCTATGATTCTCAACAGAGTTGAACAATTTGCCAACAATGGTTTGAGAGAGAGAGAGAAATGGGGTTTAACGTCCACTCGACACAAACTAGGTCATTTCGGGACTAACATGGTTTAATTTTATTTCAATAATTTGCTTGCGCGTAGGGGTCTTTGGCAGTTGGAGGAAACCGGAGGACCCGGAGAAAACCCACGAGGTTGGACAGCAATGGTTTGAAACTAAACATTAAATACAGAAACTCCATATAGTGTGCTATGAGGGAAATTTTGCCTGAACAGTGGTGCTACAGCCTAAGCCTACTCTTACATCATATTCCAACATCCAAGGGATCTTTTTACCTGCCTGCCAGCCAATGTGTACACGGGACCTCAGTTTTTCGTCCCAACCGAATAATCTTGCAAAAATATGTCAAGAAGTTTAAGAAAATAGACTTATAATTAAAACTGTTATCTCAGCTAATCCAAACCAAACAAAGTTTCTTACTTTGGCAATGTTACATTAACAGTTCCAAGTGGTTGTATCTCCATTGACTTTCCCCAAAACTTGGTTTTTACTCTCATATCTGAAAAAAAAAAAAAAAATAACATTGAATTGTTCCTGCGAGAATATGTGACACCCTTTTCATATTTTCAGACACCAAGATAGGTAGCCAGATAATGAAACATCCTTATAGCAGCTATGTTATTTGAGAGACTGTCATATTCATAACATGTATGTCAACGGGGGCATTTACAAGACACTCAAAACTGATAAAGGGCAACAACTCATGTAATAGTCACCTTATTTAAACAGTAACATTGTGTGTAGTCAGATCGTAAGTTAAAAGTGAATTGTGAATAAAAACCGGTCGAGGGTGAGGACTATATATGACCAAATTTTAATAAGGGTGTATCAATCAGAACGACAGTCTTTACATTCAGATAGTAGATATTCAGATAGAAATTGGTATCTTACATGGCAACCACTTGTATATTATAAATGTTAAATTCAACTGACTATAAGTTACCTTGCCACATGGTAAAATTTCTGGAATCTGCATGACATGCTGATATAGGTGGATGATGGCTGACCTGGAAATAAAATATAACATCTTTAATATAGCCCTTTTCATTCTTCAGTATCAATCAAATGAAATGGGTTTAATATAAACCTTCTCATTCTTCACTATCAATCAAATGAAATGGGTTTAATATAAACCTTCTCATTCCTCATTATCAATCATAAGAAACTATATATTGATAACCAGCTTATTAAGGCTATTTCCACGATAGCTATTGGAATAATTTTACTAGACCCATTAAGTCGGTCCCCCAGAAAATATATCTAGTGTGGGATGATACTGGTGACTGGGACCCTAATGAAAGGGTTAATGCCTGGTTGTGCAAAAAGTTATCAATATGTGGCTAAAGCCTAAAAACAAATATCCTAATGTATAATGAATTACTTCCCTTTGACCAACATTATCTATAATTGGCATTTTGTTTTCTTAATTAAATGTTAAATAAATAATCAGTCGAAAAATGCAAATGGTGAATCCAGACTTTACGTAAAAGAAATTTTTACCTGTTCAGCTATAAATCTCCAGCCTTTATCTTCTCGTATACATTCATACGTTTCACCAAGTAGAGGATTAAATGGTTTATGGCCGGCACGATAATAAGAGCTTGCATAAGAACTGACAGCAAATGCTGCTACATAGATCTATAATAAACAGTTTTATAATTAATTCATTTCTGCTTCATACATCTATAATCAACATTAAACATACATTATACAAGAGATAAATCTGCCTATTAGACTTTAATTAACTTATCCAGACCATAATCAACTCTCGATGCCATTGGTAGCCTGCGATATTTACTGGATTTGAATACATTTTGTGATGGATAATTGAGACTGTTTTTTATCGAAGCTAGGCCTACAATTGGGCAATATATATAGACTATTATTATTATATTAAAGATGTATGATGTAAGAGATAATTCTACCTATTGAATGTCTTTTTTCTGCCTTCGTATTTTGTATAAATTATTATTTAGGCATTTACTTATATTACAAGCCTATAATCAATTCTCTAGATCATCGAATGACCAAGAATTTAATAGGTTTGATCAACCATTCAACGATAAAATGGATAATCAAGACCTAGTCTTGGTTGTCAAGTACCGTTGCTACGATAATAAACGATCAATGCTACATCTTTTAGCTGTCATATATTTATTTTTCATAAATTATTTATTTTTATAAATTATTTATTTTTCATAAATTATTTATTTTTTCATAAATTATTTATTTTTCATAAATTATTTATTTTTCATAAATTATTTTGAACTATTATAGCAAGAACTGACAGATCGTTTATACTGAGAGAGAGAGAGATGGGGTTTAACATCCACTCGACACAAACTAGGTCATTTCGTGACTAACATATGGTTCAATTTTATTTCAATAATTTGCTTGCGTGTAGTGGTCTTTAGCGGTGGGAGGAAACCGGATGACCCGAAGGAAACCCACAAGGTTGGACAAGCGCCCCTACTCCTTGTCACGTACAACCAGGTAATCGAAACCACGCCAGTTGACAGACCTTATGATACAACGCGCACATGCTAACCATTCGGCCATCCAACCCGTCTCCCGCTCTTTATGCATCTTTAAAATTAATTTAGACAATTTTTGGTGAATTTCATATATCTTTAATTTGTCTCTGTTCAGAAATCTCTTATCTACAATAATTGAACTTATATTTTGTCTTGGTGAAACAGGTATTAATTTGACATACAGGTAAGAAGCATGATATTACCTGGAACTAAGTTAAGGGTTTAGATGATAAATGTAAATAAACTCACCATTCTTTCGTAAGGATCATCATATTCTGAAGCTTTATCTAATAAATCACTGTATTCTAATTCTTCACATAATCTCTGTTAGAATACATACAATATATATTTTATATAATTCTCTGTACAATATAGGAATTGTAACATGCTGACTTGCTAACCAGGAGGTTTCGGGTGCTATTCCGGTATTGGCCTAGAAAGTTCATCAGGATTTTACAACATGGTTTCCTTAGTCAGCAGTACAAAATCGAAGGCCGAACAAGGAACGAAGTCTATTGGTTTGGCTTGAACTGAAAATCTGAGGTCCCGTGTACACATTGGCGTGCACATAAAAAAAAACCTGACAGTTGGAATTTGAATTTATACTACAGCCTACACTAATTTCGAATTCAAACTATCAAGGGCTCTTTTACGTGCACGCCAATGTGTTTTTGGTCCCATCCGAATGACTAATTTCAGATCAAAATATCTTCCAAGCTTTGAAAAGATGAGCTAATTGTTCTGAAGAGACAGAGAAAGAAATGTGGGTCCACTTGACACATTTATCTCAATAATTTACTTGTGCTTAGGGGTCTTTAGCAGTGGTAGGATACCGGAGCACCCAGAGAAAAATTCACAAAGTTGGACAGGCTAACCAAACTCCTTGTCACGAACAAGCGAGGAATCAAAATCATGCCGTATGACTCAATGGCATACCTTATGACCTAAATTGCATGCGTTAAACTATCGACCACCACCCAAACCCCTAATTATGCTGAAAGGAATATATGTTTAAGTTACCTGTAAGGAGCTAAGGGGTTCGTTCAATGTAACAGGCATGGATATTTTGGTCAGATCTTTACCAATATTTTTATATAAAAGATTCCATAGACTAATATCACCAGAATCAGGTTGAGGTACAGGCAGCTTCGATCTTCGACCAGTTGGGAAAACAGACGTCAAAATATCTTCGGAAGCTAGAAATATAAAATAGTTAATTAAAGAAATGAAGTGAAATAAAATGGGGTTTAATGTCTCCCTTTTTTTTTATATCAATTGGGGAAATAAAGAAAGACATACACTGTGCAAGTTGCTTTGAAGGACATTTTGTGACGACTGCATTGTTACGTATTTATTCTTATTTCAATTTTACAGGATCTTTAATGTGCTTCGATGGAATACAAGAGACGCCATTTTATTCATCTCATCCTAATTACTAGATACTTTTCCTTGGTAGGTCCTCTGTCCTCCATCAATGGCAAGGTCCTCTGTCCACCACTACTCCCAAGGTCCTCCGTCATCCACTACTCCCAAGGTCCTCTGTCCTCCACCTCTCCCAAGGTCATCTGTCATCCACCTCTCCCAAGGTCCTCTGTCATCCACTACTCCCAAGGTCATCTGTCATCCACCTCTCCCAAGGTCCTCCGTCATCCACTATTGGCAAAGCTCTTCATCCTCCACCACTTCCAAGGGGAAACAAGAACTTTCTTGGCCAACACTGGGATCGAACAAGGGACCCACTGGTTAGCAAGATTCATTTCAATTATCGAAATATTAGTTCATTTGCAATACAAGGCCTGTCAGCAGAAGGAGGTCAAATTTTTCTAAAAGATAAATCTCTTAAACGAATATGAATGATTTAATTCCATTTACAAAGACCTGATGAATTTTGCAGCATTCAACATCCTTTACAGTCAATATAAACAAGGCACAGCCGTTAGGCAATTCCAGAAAAAAATTAAGACATTTACCACTAGTTACTGCTGTATCGTTGCCTTCTTCAGAAACTTCACTTGAAATATCTTCTTCATCAGACGGCTGTAAAAAATATAAAACAAATTAAAGTGGGCCGATTCCAAATTAAAATCACAAGGTATTTAGACAAAGGTGTTTATGACACCCCGTGTTGATGTGCCACACATTGATCCACCCCATTTTTGTATCACCCTGCATTGATGTGCCACACACTGATCCACCTGGTGTTCATGCCACCTGTGCTGATGTACCAAACGTTGATCCACCTGTGTTTGTGCCACCTCACACTGATATGCCCTGTATCTACCCTGTGTTTATTTCCGTCCGCGCCCCTGAGGTGATATCATGACCATTCAATGTCGGCTTTTCAAGTGGCTTTTGCTTTGTTTTGTTTTCTATCGCTGCGAATATATACACACAGTTTTGCATGCCAGTCGACAAGAACTCAACACAACAGACCATTTGATTGGCTAAAATTTTGAACTTTAAAAACAAAAGAAAATATGTTTTAATTAGATTGTCTCTCCTTCTCCCTCGCCATGAAACTATTTATATTCTTACCTCAGATGATGTTTCGCTGCCACCTTCCACATTTTCTTCAGCATCATAATATTCGGACATGGAAAAACTTTCTGCTGACATAGATTGGGCCAGCTGTACACGATCCTAAATAAAATGAAACTCTAATCAAAACATCATATATTGTTATAAATGGTTCAAAGAATGTAGAGTACGGCACTTGCTCCTAACCACGACGTCCTGGGTTAGAAAAAACAAACAACCCTAAAACAGGGATGTGATTTACCCACATGGTAACTAACACATCATATAACAAGTATTTGACTTAACCACCCTTGAACTATCCCACCCTATAAATAGTATTTGACTTAATCACTCTATAAATAATAACCTACCCTTTAACTATCCCACCATGTAATAAGTATGTGATTTACTCACACGGTAACTAATCTATCATATAACTTGCCATGTAATAAGTATGTGATTTACTCACACGGTAACTAACACATCATATAACTCACCATGTAATAAGTATGTGATTTACTCACACGGTAACTAACCTATCATATAAATCACCATGTAATAAGTATGTGATTTACTCACACAGTAACTAACCTATCATATAAATCACCATGTAATAAGTATGTGATTTACTCACACAGTAACTAACCTATATAACTCACCATGTAATAAGTATGTGATTTACTCACACGGTAACTAATACATCATATAAATCACCATGTAATAAGTATGTGATTTAGTCACACGGTAACTAACACATCATATAACTAACTTGCATTATAACTAACTCACCCTGCAACAAATATTTGGCTTACCCACCCTATAACAAGTATTTAACCTACCGTCCCTATATCAAATCACTACCCTAAAAAGTGAAAATGAAATGAAATGGGGTTTGACGTCCTACTGATCTACTCCAACTGGGCTAATGAAGACGGGAATACGCCATACAGTGTGCTATGAGGGAAATTTTGTCTGAACAGTGGCGCTACGGCCTACTCTTATATCGAATTCCAACTGGCAAGGGATCATTTACGTGCACTCGAATGTGTACACGGGACCTTGGTTTTGCATCCATTCCGAACCACTATACAACTGTCCTTGTCAGGCCCTCCGTCTTGCATCACTAACAAGGGGACCCGATAAAGTTGTTAACTTTCTCGCAGTATAACTAACCCACCCTATAACAAATATCTAACTTAACCATCCTATAACTATCTAATTACTTAACTGATCACCCGCCCTATAACTAACCCACCCAATAACAAGTATTTCACTTACCCGCCCCATAACGGGTGAAGGAAGAGGTGACATCGGTTGCATTAAATTAGTTAAATTGCATTCAGCACCAATCCTAACTAATCTTGCCCGTAACTCTGCGTTCTGTTGATAACTCTATAAAATATTGTAAAGTATATTGCTGTTAACAACACCTTGATAAAGACGACAGTACAATCATTGAAATCCCATCTAAACGTTGCATGCTAATAAACCAGTAATAGTTATTCCACATACTTTTTAATTACTATATGCTACTCAAAGACGATTATTAGGCTAAAATAAAAATAAATGTTTGCTTACAGTGTTACATGACTGACCCTATATCAATTTTTTTTAGCCAAAATAGCAGACACTAATTTTTTTTTTCTCACATTTCCTATAACTTAGTATTGGTGTGATTTTACAACCAATAGGCCCTATTTTTCACGGGCCATGAAACCGTAAACAAATGTATTTTTTGCATGGCCTTAGATTTATCTCAATAGTTAAAATATAGTCCCATATCACTGATTACATAAACATGAAAGAAGAGATCATGATCTTTAGTCTACTTAAGATTTAAGATTTGTCTGGTTTATCAAGAACATCAAAGTATAATAACTTTAATCCGTGATGGTAATAAACTAAGATGATTGACACTTTTTAATCCCTCAAAAAATAAACAAATCTTGTATGAACATTAAGTGTAAAATAACTTTGTATTTTTAAAAAAAGGTTGCCAAGCAACGAAACATCAATAGCAGGTTGTCTCATTGTAAACGATCAGGTAAATATCATTAGAGTTTGACAAGATTATGTGAATATTAATTTGAATATAACTATTGTTGTCAGTGTTCACAAGATTCTGCAAAGTGAGAAAGGGCAATAACTCTAGAAGTAATTAATGAAAATTGCTAAAATCTGATTAGTTTCTTTATTGTACTAATCCAAACAATGTCAGACAGATTGGTCAGTAACTTTTGTCGCTGTAGCTTTCACAAGATTCTGCATAAGGGGCATAAGTCAAGACATAATTAACGAAAATTGTTGAAATTCAACATCTTTCTTTGTTTCACAAATTCAAACAATGCAATCTGTACTTTATCTCACCTCGTTGAGTTTTTGTTGCAGGAGTATATTCTGTGCCATGTTGTTATTTGTGGCTGTATTTGGAGAAAGTGTTGCCGTGCTGGCAGCCGTGACCGTCGCCTCAGCCTCTAGTGTGTGTTTTAATCTTTCCCTCTCTGTACCCATCATATGAACTAAACTTTTTAAATTACTATGAACTGAAATTAAATACACATGAACACTAAATTGGAGTATTACACCATTTTATGACAGCCATATTGTTCTGTGTATGCGATACAATTTTTTCAGGTTTTTTTTTTGTTTATGATGCATGTATCTTACATCAGGGTTGAACAAATGATCTAACAATAATTAATTCTAAAAGATACATTATGTAAGATTTAGATAAAGAGCTGATCGTCCGTGGTATAACAGTTTGAAAATTGATAATGAAAAATGAATATATCTACAATTTGAATCAAAGTTATTAATGTTATAAGTGAAGTTATCAATGTTTGAAGTTTTAACAAGAAAACAAGTCTTCATTTGTAGTCATTCAATCGACATTCTCTATAAAACCTAGGACAGACAAGCATATTTTTCGCCTGATTGCACTGATAGAAATTCGTCAGTGATTTTTTACGGCTATTATGAGCGGGCTATGATTGTCTCGAGTATAGGCCACTAGGCGAGAAAATTACGTTGATCATGTGACTCATGTGGAAGCCATTTTGAGATCATGTGATATCAATGGTTCGCACGACAATATATGCTGGAAACGGACAGATGAGTGGATTATGGGTTTGTCATGTGAATAAATAATACTATTATAAAAAGACACAGCTCTTACGTAAGGTATCTTTAATGCCGTCAAATCATTTGTTCTATTAAACGGTAACTTTTAATTCTTTGTAAATAAATAAAGAAAAGATCTTGCCAGAATTTGTAAGAATCACAAAAGGTTTTTGAAACTGGTCGATTCTTGTCTTGAGTCTAAAATCTAAGAATTCCTTTGAGTTACAAGAGTGAACTCTGCACACAGAAAACTATATACTTTGAGAGAATATTTATCTACCCTGAATGGCTGCCAATTTGAAAAATTAGGGCACTATATTTTGTTATGTGGTTCTAATCCATTTTACATCTTTGATAACTAATTAAATATTTTACAGTGTCTCAAAATTCTCAAAGCATACTGAGTGTTTTCAACTGAAATCGTCGATGTAGGAATTAAAATGTCGGTCAACTAGCTTAGTGTCTGTTTTCAAGTTGAGCTAATTGTAGACCGACAGCATAACTGGTGAAGTTGATTACGGTATTGAGGATTTTGTCATATAGACAATCAAGAAATGAGTTCGAACAATTTGAATATTCACAGCAGCACTGGCCTTACGATATCTGAGGAGTTTTTTAAATTACCGTTAGTATTTCGGTTTTGTTTTCTTGATTAAATGTTAGACAACCCATTTGAGTACATTTTAACATGGATTAAGCTCAAAATGGTTTTGACAAGATTTAGATTAGAGAAAAATTAGAATATGATACCTTGTTCAGCTTTAGATATAAAATTCTCTCGTAGTCTTATTTCCTGTATTCTCTGCTCATGAGCGGGACTGATCAACGTGTCGGGCATACTGTTAGGTCGTACCGATGATATGAGGTTTGGATTTGAGGTACTGGTGTGAATACGATCAGGAACACTCAGTGTAGGTGAACTCGTCTATAGAAATAAAAAAAAAACATCATACAATTTGTAATAATTCATAGAAAATAACCCCCCAAAATATAGTTTACAACATGCGTGAATGCAAATATTTTGATGTCAAAAATTTGATTTGTTGATGTCTCTGGTAGCCTGATAAAAATAGCTGGAAGAAGAAAAGGCTAAAGCGATGATGGCACACTTACAGTACTGCATGGTGTATGTCCATCTTCGTTCGCAGGATTGACATGCTGAACAGAATAGAAGTGTTAATTACGTTGTTTTACAGAGAATTGTTAATGCCAAGGTTGTTTGCGTCTCCATGATTCACATAATCCAAAATAAATTTCAAAGTGGGTGCAACAGTTATATTTGATGTTTGCTTCTTTTAAACAAGTAATATTATTTTCAAATTTCGGATGAATGAACCTGAACACATATCCCAAATTTAGATTTAACAAGTCAATAAATTATAAATTGTATTCATAGAAGGAGAGAGAGAGAAATGTGGTTTAACGTCAACTCGACAAAAAACATGTAATTTTGGGACTAACATATGGTTCAATTTTATTTCAATAATTCACTTGCACGTAGGGATCTTTTAACAGTGGGAGGAAACTGGAAGACCCAGTAAAAACTCATGAGGTTGGACAGGCGATCCTACTCTTTGTCACATTAAAGCGTGGATTTGAAACCACGTCAAATGACTCAATGACAGAACTTGTGATCTAAAGTACATGTGTTAAACCACTAAGCCACCCAACCCACCTATAGTCATAGAAAGAACAAAGTTAAACTGTAATATTTTAATGTTAATTTGGATAAGCTGGGAAGGGAGGTACAATGGTGTATGAGTATTGGGAGTTTATTAAATGAAGTAGGGTGGCAGGAATTATAATACACCTAAAACACATCTATAATAACATTAGTGTTGATGGAAGTTAAAATAAAAAAATATTGATTAAATTTGGCACGTTCAATGTGACAAGTTTAAAATTAATAACAATTCATTTTCTCACATACTTACTTGATTACTTGATAATCAAACAGTTTTACACAAAATAAAATTCTACAACCATTTGGCTAAGATAAAGTACATTTGGAAAAAACTGTTGGTGGATATTTTACTATGATATGACACCAACCGGGCTAAAGACCAGGGCCATGTGCCATACAACATGCAATGACGGACAATTTACGCTGTCCACTTTATCTAATTTCAATGTCCAACTATTTATCGGAAGTCGTCATAAGCAAATTCCCTCTTAGGTGACCAGAATTTTAATGTAATTCCGACTTTGGACCAATCTGATTAAATCACAGATCCTATTTCGTTTCGTTTTTTTGGTGTTTAAAATTTCGTTTTACTTGTCTTTACTGCACTAGGATCTGAAAGAGTTGTTATATAACCCGTGGTTTGGATGATGTGCTGGTTTAGCCAATGAAACAGTCTGTTACAGCGAGCTTTAGGCGTGTGGTGCACGGAACTGTGGGTAATCCACTAGAAACATAATGCTGATTGGTTAATCAAATGTCTGACGTCATAGGGTCAAAAGCCGCATGAAATATAGATCTGTATTTTAATTAGATTGACTTTAGACAGAGGAAAATGAAATTATGTACCTATTAAGAATCCAAATTCAATGCCATTTATAATCACATTTATAGATTTTTGGGAAAATGGGCTTTTCCGTGATTTTCTGTTTCTGATTGTAAATACCGTTTTGAATGCCAGATGTAGCGATTTCCGCGTATTTTTTCCGGAAATTCCTCAATCATAGATAAAGTGACAATAAAATGAAGATCACTCACAGACACCTGATGCTACATCAAGCCAGATAATTAAGGCACCTGTCACAGACATTCTTAGACACAAATTGTTAGAGTTTCTGTTACTTTGTCACTTTGGTACAGTATCACATACTTTCTGCATGTTTATTGATATTATTAATGCATGTCTGGCACAAAGTCCAAAATGTCAGGTACTAATTCGTTAGTGCCTTATATTTAGTCAGTCAATCTTATCCACTATAGGGAATTCCAATGCTGTACGATAAATGAGCCAAATATTGCATTAAATTAAAAAAAAAAAATTTCAGAGACAATGTGATTTAAATATTCTTTCTATTTGTAGCAACTCACTATGGAATCTCGACCGTGTGTGGGACTATCTAATTTCTTAGATTTTCTTTTACTTGTTCGTACACCAACAAAGCGTCGGGTTTTTGGTTTTTCACAAGATTGAGTGAGAAGTTCTGGGTACTAGTAGAAGAAATAAGCAAACAACAATAATAAAACAGATTAGTAAGATAATATACTAAATATCGTAATCTTCAAGTCTCTTTATGGCATTCATAATAATTATATTAAAATACAATTTATGGGTTGCCAGGCAACAAAATACATCCTCACAAAACAGTGTATAACTCTAAATTTCAATAAGACTCATCCTTTCAAAAAGTCTCTGAGGAATATGCAATTTAGAGTAAGTCCAATATAATTTATGGGTTGCCAGGCAACAAAATACATCCTCACAAAACATTGTATAATTCTAAATTTCAATAAGACTAATCTTTTCCAAAAGTCTCTGAGGAATATGCAATTTAGAGTAAGTCCAATATAAGAAAATATTCAATAATTCATAGCATCGATTATTATTTTTTAAATTTTCTTATGTCTGACTGGTATGGCAGACTGTAATGTTTTGTATTTACTAATGTTTTAGTTGACCAGTTATTGACACACAGTCTAGCTAACAGTCTAAATTTTGGAATAAATTGAAAATTACTAATTGATGATTGTATAACATTTTTAGATAAATTGAACAGACTTGAAGTTTACAACTAGCAGTGAGTAAAAAGATGAAAAGCAAAATTTAACAATGGTAACCGAGTTAAACAAATTGAGTAATATTTCCCAGGGAATACATAAAGAAGAGAAATAGTAAAATATTCAATTTGACTCCCGAAAAAGTATAAATACTTTTGGTATTTTGGTCCATTTTGAATTCTATCAGTCAGGCCACGACAATTTGATTTTCTGTTCTTCAAGGTCTTAAAAAGAAAAAAGCCACTTGAATCACATGAAGGTTGATCTGTTTAAATTTCAAAACTTATGTGATAGGCTCTTTTTGCAAACCCCGATATGTTTTCAAAACCCTGGTAAAATCCGAAACCCCGGTATATATATAGAACCCCACCAAGTGAGATAAATCAGTGTGAAGAGTTTGATTAGAACGAAACTAGTTACTGCTAAAAGGGATAACTGGCTAAATCGCCCATCCTTATCTACCTTAAATATTTAGAAGTAAAACCATTTGAAGAGAACAACCAAGAACTATTGGTTTTTAAATTAGTCTTTTTCCCAAAGAAATAAGAAAAATGTTTACAGGTGTATGATTACAGGTGTTACCGAAGAACACTAAATCAAATTTGTCTGGCCTAACAGAAAGTGTATGGTCTTGAAAAATTTTGCATACAGTTTGATACTTTATGATACCATTATGTCTAATTGCTTTTCACCTTTTTGGAATCCAGTGAGCATTAAAAGAGGTATATTCTGTAAAATATTTATCTGAGAGTATATATCATTAAGAGTAAGTTCTTGTGTCAAATTTAATCATTGGAAACTTTTTAATTTTTATACTTAAGACATATTTAATATTTAATTAAGTAAACAAAATCAAAATATTATATAATATATAATCTCCATGACTTGGATTAAAAAGAGGTCCATCAAAAGATTTTCCACAACACATATAGGTGGCACTGGTTTGTTTACATCATCTGTAGAGGATGATGAATGTTGCAATATTCTCAATGAATCATATCTTTACAAATAAAAAATTTTCGACCTTATATTCCTTCTAGAGAGATTTTAAAGTTCCACAACATTGTGGTTCGCAAATAATTCAAAATCTCTCAGCAGCCTTAAATTGATTTTAAATTTCAATATGACATAAAAAAAAGTAAGCATACTCTTGTCTCATGCACAAGAATTTACTCCCATATGTAAATACAATAATTTTAAACTCTACACCTTCAAATAAACAACTGTAGAATCTAATTATTGGTTAATTACTTGGTGGCGATAAACCATAATCATTATTTATTTCTCTATTTTATCCAGTTTACTGATAAATTACTGATATTGTCTTGCTAATTTAATTCTAGAACTGATATAGTGCACAGGCTCTGCTGTGTTGTAAATGTAAATGGTTCACTCACAGGTTCAGATAAAGAGTCTGTCACCAGATAACATATTACAAGCCTATATATGGGCATAGCATGCATATATTAGGATGCTATAAATAAGACATGCTATATTTAGACAGAGGCATGAAAATATCGACATATAGGTACATGATATTTTTATAATTTAATCATTTGCTGTGATTTGCTGTGATTTGCTGTGATATACATGGTAATCAAGTCAATTTCTTTTTTAGGTATTTAGGTAATGAGTAATTTGTGAATAGGTGCCTTTTTTTTAATCCTGGCAAAATCATTTTCAATTCTTTTAAAATTCATAAAACAATTTAGGGATATTTTGTCTAACTTTGGGTTCTACAATGCGCTGACAACATTTACAAACCTCGTGAACTTTTGTGGGAGCTTCTAACAATTAAGAAATTAATGTTCTACTTTAAAACTAAAATGAAAATTCTATTTCCGTTGTTAAACAAAATTCCTCAAAATTAATAATAAGGGAGACTACTGTAAAATATATAAAACCAAATTAAAACAGAAGTATTAGCAAATAAACTAAAAAAAAATATTGTAAAAATTAATCACAAATGTGAACATGCCTCTAACAAATCACACACCATTTAATATAAAGAAAACAAAATTTAAAAAATGAATAAATTTAAAAATGAAGTATTTTGTATGATATTTACTTCTACTGTGGTTTCTCCAGATAGTGGTAAATTTTGTATATCTTCTAATAAATCGCGTAATTCATACAAGGTATTCTGGGCATCACTTAAGTCTAAAATACAACAATTAAAAAAAAAACAATAAATGTACAAGGTGTAAAAAAAAAAAAAAATTGTTAAAATATTTTAGATTCAAATAATCAATGTTAAAAAATACTGCTCAAAGATTTCAATTTTTTTGTCCTAAATCTGATGAAATTAGTTAGCTGCCTATCTACTAATGGTAAAATCTATTTAAAATAGATTTAAATTTCAGGTTTTTTTTGTACTTCTGATGGTCTCCACTCTGCAAAGATCTGATGGGTTTTTGTGTGAGGTCAAGTCAGGAGACTATGTGTATGTAACTTTTCCTTAGCTCAATAGCTGACTCCCATATTTCTTGCCTAAACAAACCATTTCTTTGGCTGACCCCTAATATCAAATAGAACATGGTTTTATTTGTAAAATCTGTCAGCTCCTACAGTCGTGAAGTCTAATAATACAAAATTTGAATTATAGAAAATTAAACGAAATAGGATCTTCATTTTCTTTATGGACATATATGCAATAAGGAGGAGAATTTTGCCAGGAGAGCAGCATTTCCAACAACTCTTCATCCCATTCCAATTATTAGGGGTTCATCTAAACCAACAGGGATGGTCCCTGATACTCTGTCCCATCCAAAGGACTATACATTTATTTTGTCATTTTTGAAAAGTGGAAACCCGAGCCTGAAAAAATAATTTAAATAATCTAAACACTGATAATGGATACAAACCTTTATTGCATTTTTCAAAACCTGCGGTATCTAGAACCCAAGCAGCTACACGACTCTGACCACCAACTCCTTTATTAAAACTAGCTTGACGGATAACTTCCTTCTTTAACGTTAATGTTCGACTCTTCTCCGGGAGATTAGCAGCTGAAACAAGAAGTTGGAATCATAGGAGAAAGCAGTTGATCCCAAAAAAAAAAATTCAAATCATGCTATTAAATTGGATGATTCTATGAGAATGACCAGGATTAACTTAAACAAGAACGTTAGAACTATATGGACTAGGAATTGAGCAGGACATAAATGTTGCCATCCTGGAATTGTGAAGGGTTTTTTTTTTCAAAAATGGAGGTCCTTCAATCAATGCAGAATTGACCAAGGAACAAATATACCAGGTTTTATGTCATTCTTACTAACAACAAGATGATTAGTACTTGGACCCAGTTCCTGGTTCAACTTAAATTGTGTCAAACAGTTTATCAGGTACAACTAGAATCTTTAGTTACAGCACTGAGAAATGAAATGAAATGATGTTTAATGTCCTACTGTTTTGCTCCGAACTAGGTTAATGAAGACGGCCATATGCCACGCAGTGTGCTATGAGGGAAATTTTGCCCGGGCAGTGTCACTATGGCCTACTCTTATTTCGAATTGCAGCGTGCATGCCAATGTGTACACAGGACCTGGTTTTTTCTTTCACATCCAAACAACTAGACAACTGTCCTTGTCAGGCCCTCCATCATGCACCGCTGAAAAGGGTAAACCAAGCCTGAAAAATCCTGATGAAATTTTCGGCCAATGCTCGGATCGAACATGCGACCTCCAGGCTAGCGAGCCAGCATCTTACTCACTTAGCCACTGTGGCTCCTCCAGTACTGAGTGTTATACTCCTCCAGTACTGAGTGTTATACTCCTCCAGTACTGAGTGTTATACAAACAGGTGGTTGCTCTCCACCATACTGATACCCACTATTAGTCAACCACATTATAGTGACCACTATTAGTCAACCACATTAAAGTGACCCACTATTAGTCAACCACATTATAGTGACCACTATTAGTCAACCACATTATAGTGACCACTATTAGTCAACCACATTATAGTGACAGAGACAGAAAGAAATGGGCTTTAACATCAACTCACGTCATTTTGGAATCAAAATATGGTTAAAGTTTTATTTCAATAATTCGTTTGCTTGTAGGGGTCTTTCAGGTGTGGGAGGAAATCAGATAATCCAGAGATAACCCAGGACATTGGACAGGCAGCCTTACTGCTTGTCACATACAAGATGGGAATCGAAACCATGCCACTTGACTCAAAGACAGAGAAAACCCAGGACATTGGACAGGCAACCTTACTGCTTGTAACATACAAGATGGGAATCGAAACCATGCCACTTGACTCAAAGACAGAGAAAACCCAGGACATTGGACAGGCAACCTTACTGCTTGTAACATACAAGATGAGAATCGAAACCATGCCAGGACATTGGACAGGCAGCCTTACTGCTTGTAACATACAAGATGAGAATCGAAACCATGCCAGGACATTGGACAGGCAACCTTACTGCTTGTAACATACAAGATGGGAATCGAAACCACACCACTTGACTCAAAGGCAGACCTTATGATCTAAAGTGCACACTTTAGGTAATTTGCCCCTTTCTTTTGTAGTAAGCAAAGATGGAATGGTCACAGTATCATATCTTGCACCAATTATTAATCTAGGATATAGTTGATACAATGAGGAATAATCCAGTCAACCAACCCGTTATTTTATAGTGAAGTTCTTACTTGCTAATGGGCTAATAACTATGTCTTCTATAGGTGATGAGATTTCAGTTAATCGTGGTGACTCCTTCGTTCCGTAAGCTATTTCATGTTGTCGATATAATCTATGATGGCGTATTCTATCTATCCAATTATCAAACACTTTACTATCTTTCACCTGTATAAACATCAAATACTTAATAAACCAAAGGGATTACTCATTTAAATATTATTGTGGGTTTTTGTTCCGATTCCTTTTTTGTTTTCTTATTACAGAAATAAATATATCTTATCAGGTGTATGTTTTTGCTGACTCTGTTGATCTGAGATGGTGTTTATATTTAGCTGACACTGTTTATCTGGGATGGTGTTTATATTTAGATGACACTGCTTATCTGGGATGATGTTTGTTTTTAGCTAACACTGTTCATCTGGGATGGTGTTTGTATTTAGCTAACACTGTTTATCTGGGATGGTGTTTGTATTTAGTTTGTATTAAGCTAACACTGTGTATCTGAAATGGTGTGTGTATTTAGCTGACACTGTTTATCAGGGATGATGTCTGTATTTGCTGACTCTGTTTATCTGGGAAGGTGTATGTATTTAGCTGACACTGTTCATCAGGGATGGTGTATGTATTTAGCTGACTGCTGACACTATTTATCTGGGATCATGAATGTATTTGCCAACACTGTTATCTGAAATCATTGAAAATCAATGGGATTATTTGTCTCAAGACCTTAAACACTGTGTATAAATTTAGTGTCAAACAGATGATAACTTTGTTCTCTAGAGCGTCCACAAAATATTTCAAAGTGATCAAAGGCAATAACTCTGGCAGTAATTATCAGAAATCAATATATCTTATCTGACATTTTTATTTAAACTACTAACCTTTATATGATAAACTTGTTCCTCAGCATCTATATCAAGCCGTTGTCGTTTACGCTTGTATGATATAACTGCTAAACCTATATCTATTACACCATGTAACTTTCCCTTTAATATCTGTAAATATAGGGAAATATACATATTACAGAGAGAGAGAGAGAGAGAGAGAGAGATGATCATATTTAGGAAAAGAGAGAGGGAGAGGGAGGGAGAGAGATAGAGAGAAATGGGGTTTAAGTCCACTCGACACAGGCTAGTTCATTTCGGGACTAACATATGGTTTAATTTTATTTCAATAATTTGCTTGTGTGTAGGGGTCTTTAGCAGAGGGAGGACCTAGAGAAAACCCACGAGGTTGGACAGGCAACCCTACTACTTGTCACATACAACCGGGGATTCGAAACCATGCCAGTTGACTCAATGACAGGCCTTTTAATACAGCGTGCACATGCTAACCATTCGGCCATCCAACCCCCCCCCCCCCCTATTGAGGAAAAGAGCTGTAGATATCTTTGAATGTGCTTAGTAATGGCAGCATCCAAACAATAGTCTAGTTTTAACATCCACTCAACACAAACTAAATCAATTCAGGACAAACATATGTTTCATTTTTTATTTCATTTTTAATTCGCTTGAGCACATGGGTTTTTAGCAGTAGGAGGAAACCACAGACAACCCAGGAGGTTGGACAGACAACCCAGGAGGTTGGACAGACAACCCTTATACTTGTCAAATACAAGTCACCCCCCACTCCACCCCAACCGCTTAATCACCCATCACGGCTTTAAAATGTTGTTCTTCTCAATTCTCAATACAAAAATATTTTATGGTTCTATTCTAACCATGGACTTGTCACATCTATACAAGTTCAGTAATACAAAATATGAGAAAAAAAATAAAGTTATTCCCATCTAAAAAGGAAAGGAAATGAAATGAAATGAACATCATCATTCGTGTCCTCTAGAAGCAATTTACCATTCGCTCAATTACCATTTTGCCCCGCAGCCAATCATTATGTACGATCAATATATTATGGTATATACCAAGTAAGAGCTTGACCGATTGGATTATAGAATAATGCGACGATTGACATATACAAGACGGCCATTCATTGATTATGATTCATATTACCGTGTCATAAAAGAAGAAAACAAAACACTATTTTCGAGACAACCCAGATCAAAGCGAAGGTTATCTTATTATGTAAAAAGGTTAATGCATAATTTTTCCTTAGGTAAAACACGTCTGTATAGAAAATTGGCAGACCATAAAAAGAAGAACTGTTAAGAAACTTCAAATTGGAAATCTATATAAAGCTACTAGTTTCGTTTTTTTTGCGAACTCTTCAGGCTGAAGGGAGAATGTGCGGATGTTTTCTTTATATAATCGATGGGGTACATGCGAAGTCTGTTTCACCAGACTCGTTGCTTTTATAATGTGTGAACAAAAAGCTGGCTAAAGAATTGCCATTAAATCCAAACGGATTCTCACGACTACCTTCATATTTATTTCCACAAAAATTGTGACCATGTACATTATAATATATAAGGTCCATGTTGTGATTCACTGAATGACTGAATGATAGAGGCTAATGGTGACAGAAAGGTTAACAAGTTCTTGGTAGACATGACAGTAATTGTAAAGTAATTGTATCAAACTAATTGAGTGACTACAGTTAAGTCCACTTTAAGTATATCTCCATCTAAGACTGTCAATGTTTCTTAAGCCCCAGGCAAGGCCATCAAAGTATATAGCAGATTCCATTTTAATTGTACATGGTGCTTTATATTCCCGTGAGTGATGACCCATGTTAATCATAACCTGTTTATTTCCTTTCAGAAAGAGATAGCGAGAGAGTTTAATGTATATACTCGCCACAAACCTGGTCATTTCGGGACTAACATATTGTTCAATATTATTTCAAAAATTGGCTTTCGGGTAGCCGGTAGGGTTCTTTAGCAGTGGGAGAAACCAGAGAAAACCCATGAACAAATGAAATGAAATGGGGTTTAACATCCTACTGTTCTGCACCGAATGGCCTGATAAAGAGTACAGGCATACACCATGACATGTAGTAAATGAAAATGAAATGAAATGGGGTTTAACGTCCTACTGTTCTGTTCCTATACTGGGCTTATGAAGACGGGCATACACCATACAGTGTGCTATGAGGGAAATTTTGCCCGGGCAGCGGCACTATCGCCTACTCTTATATCGAATTCCAACTGCCAAGGGATCTTTTACGTGCATTCCAATGTATACACGGGACCTCGGTTTTCCGTCTCATCCGAAGGACTAAACAGCTGTCCTTGTCAGGCCCTCCGTCCTGCATCACTGACAAGGGGGAACCACGCCGAAAAATCTGGATGAACTTTCTCGGCCAATGCAGGGATCGAACTAAAAGGTTCAGAGAGAGAGAGAGAAACAGGGTTTAACGTCCACTCAACACAAACTAGGTCATTCGGGACTAACATGTGGTTCAATTTTATTTCAATAATTCACTTGTGCATAGGGGTCTTTAGCAGTAGGAGGAAACTGGAGGACCCAGAGAAAACCCATGAGATTGGACAGGCGACCCTACTCCTTGTCACGTACAACCAGGGAATCGAAACCCCGCCAGTTGACTCAATGACAGACCGTATAATACACCGCATGTGCTAACCATCCGGCCATCCAAGCCCCCTGAAAAGTACAAAAGGCAGATTTGAGTCAAACAATTAAATAGAAGATGGAATAATCATACTTACATCATTAGGACTTTTAGCATACGTTAATATTCCTTTTTCTAATGTAAAAAATCTCTGAAATAAAGAAAAGGCAAGTATTATTGATCATTCATTCTCCCTAGACGACATGTCACTTTTTGTTTAGTTTAAATGTTATCATCATCTTGTATATTATTCCAGTTATTTAACTGTTCTATATGCCTTAGACATAGTCCTGTTTTATATGCTTTATCAAAATATATCACTGTCTTGTATATACTAGTTATCTATATAGACATATCCCTGTCTTCTTGTATGCTATATCACCATATTGCACGCTACAGATATATCACCATCTTGCATATTGTAGATACCAGTATATCATTGTGTTGTATGTATTACAGTAATATATTTTAGATACATCACTGTTTTGTATACTTTAAATATTCAAGCATTTTAAAGAGAGAGTGAGTGAAATGGGGTTTAACATCCACTCGACACAATGTATTGTTCAATTTTATTTCAATAATTCCCTTGCACACAGTGGTCTTTAGGAGTGGGAGGAAACTGGAAGACCCTGAGAAAAGCCATGAGGTTAAGCATTTTGAAACGTATCAGTGTTTTGTGTAGATATTATATTGCTGTCTTGAATAATTTATACATATCACTGTTTTGTATTTTAGAGATATAATACTGCTTTATAAACTTTAAAAGTCTTAAATGCATTAGAAATATCACCATCTGTAGAGTTTTAGACAGAGTTTTAACTAAATCAAGAAGAAAGTTACAAGAGCTAAATCTCTATTCTGTGGAAACTTAAAATAGATGAAAATGGGTCTAAAGCATGTATTAATGAAATATGTGCATACAGGGATTTACATTCATTTCTTAATTCTAATCAATAATGTGAAATATGAATAGTCCAAATTTAATGGCAGTCCATTCTACACGGGGTTTTTTTGTTATTATTTTGTCATTTGTGAATCAGTCATTTTTAATTACTTCCAAATTGTAGTCTGGGGTTTTTTTCTGTTCATTACAAATTGCACTCAAAACCAGTCCTTTTAGGGTACACAATGTTGGGTACCAATATTAAAATGTTCATATTAGGATCCCAAATTTTCATGATAAGATGACAACATCAATCTTGAATTGATTGAAAATTGGACCAATATTGAATTCTAATTTGTGTTTTATATTTTGAATATTATGGAGAATATTGAGTTAGAGGTTTACACTCTTCAACGTAAATGTTTAACGTAAACGACCTTGTCATTCTAAAAACTTTGAAAGTGTCCTGTGGTGATAGGGCTTTTTCAGTGGCAGCATGTACCCATCCAATGGAATAAACTCCCAGCAACATTAAATCATCCTTAAAGACTCACTTATTTAATTGCGAATACTACCGAGTAGAATTGTTGTAGATGAGAGGTGCTATATAAATTCATTATTATTATTATTACAACATACCTTGTGCCAGCCTTTCAGGGGCCATTTTCTTCTCTTCATCAAGAACCCCTGATGTCTTTCTGGTTTTTCTCCGCATCTTTGTCCATCTCTCAGCCCTTCCAGAATTATCCATTCTTGTCGTGACTTACGGCTTTTACGACTTTTGTGAGGACTTGGTTTTGCGTTAGATGATTGACTCTGTGGTCCTTCTACCTGGGAACTTGATATGGATCCATCATCACCACTATTATCCTGCAGCGTTAACAAATATATAATGGTTTTTAAAAATATACATTATTAACTCTCCTTGGTAGAAATATGGTAGCATCCACCTGTACCATCTTTGTACAAAGAGGGCGAAATGGGTTCTAACAACCACTAGACCCAGACTAGGTCATTTTGGGAGTTACATATGACACAATTTTATTTCAATCTTTAGCAGTGGGAGGAAACCAGAGAAAACTCAAGAGGTTGGACAGAAAGAAACGAGCTGCGTAACCTGAATTATCCCCTTTTGGTAAGAAGATATCCTGAAGTGACATTGGAATTTAGAAATCGTTGAATATCAAGACTTTTCCATCTCAATCAGATTATAACTTTAACTTTTAAAGCATCCACAAGATTTTACTTTCATTATAATTTTATTTCAATAATCGAATTCCACATAGAGGTTTTTAGCAGTTGGTGGAAACAGGAGGACAGGCGAACCCACTTCTTGTCAGGTACCATCGAAGAATCGAAATCACGCCACTTGGTGCAATGACAGACCTTATGATCTAAAAGTAAAGTGCATGTAAAAAAAGGAAGTAGACTGATATTTTTACTTACAGAATCTGAATTACTGTCTGCATGTTTCATATGATCATGTGTGCCATTTGACATTTTCTGATGTGGTGTAACCTGTAGAAAGAGAAGAAATGGTTTAAAACACGTAATTGCACCCATTACTAAGAATTTACTTTAAACACTAAATGAACACAGTCACTGAACACATTTATCCTGATTTGGGAACAATAGTCTCGGATCACGGACTATCCCAGTCTGCCAACAGAAATATCTCAGATTTTACAACAAACTAGTTGGCTAAATGAACAAGTTTTTGGAACAAATTATTCTAGTCTTGGAACAAATTATCCTGGTATTGGAACAAATTATCCTGGTCTTGGAACAAATTATAATGGTCTTGGAACAATTTATTCTAGTTCTGGAACAAACTGTCTTCAAGAGGTAATAATTTTATTCATTGCAAAAGTATGTTGAACAATTCCACAATTCTTATATCCCGTCTGACTGGAAGTACTTTCACAGTATTCAATGATTACTATTTGATTTTAAATTTCACACTAACTGTTACAAATACAATATCATACATAACATCTGACAAAATCAATATCAATTAACTATTTCAAATTATTAATTAATATTTAATTCTTGTGTAATTATAATCCATTAACCATAAAATAGACTGCATTATCATATATGTAAATACGTGATATATATGTGTACCAGACAGAGAGAGAGAGAGAGAGAGAGAGAGCAAGAGAGGCACTACTGAACTTGTACATAGCACATAAAAACAACAAAATGGCAGCCAGAAGTGAGAATTTGTGCCTGTCTGTGACACAAATGACTTATTTCTAGACATGTTTTGGGACTCATATGGTATATATTTCTATTTCAATAAGTCCCATATCTGCACAATCAGAGAACCCTGATAAAAAAAACCCCACATTTATAGATTCACAAGGACAGTAGCATTTCTAACCGTTAAAGTTACTGTAATTACATGTACATGTAATTTCATATATACACATAATTAACTGTCTACAGATTAACAATCAGTTTGTCTATCCGAAAAACTTGACAACATTTTCCTTATCTGACACACAGTCTTCAACCAGGACAAGCAAGAACTGGGCCTACAAGTCCAGGTGATTCTCAGATATAGTTTGGAACCTGGGATATATTCTAATCAAGAGTTGAGGCAGTGCCCAGAGTTTCACCCGTAATCAGAATTCCTGATCATTCTCATGACTACTGAGTATCAAATTAAATTTCAAATCTTACATCATTGACATTCTTTAACTGAAATTAACTATAAAACAAAAATGGCTAACTATACACAATCAACAAACATCACTGTAACACAGATAGCAAGAAAAACAAACTCGACAATTACCTTGCTGGAGAAAATCTACTATAAGAATCAACTGCTGTAACACAACAATCAAAACAAACCTTCTAGGAAGAATTCTAGTATATCTACTATATGTTTCTAGTTTTCTACACACAGCCTTTTTTCATTGAAATACATTTTACATATGTTGTCAATAACTGTACAGTAGCCTACACCTAAATATCAATCATAAACCTTTAAGTTAACCTCATTTATACAACATCAATTATAACATGTAACATACAGTATGTATGTATACTATAATATATCAATTATATACTAACACACTTTACAACAATAATAATTCTAGTCTATGATTCATACATCTTATATATAAAAGATCTATATCAGTTACGCTCTCTTCCCATCGGGATGTAACCCATTTAACTATACGGATCTATCAAAATGGAATTTTGTTTACATGTCTATATATAGGACAATAACTACCTTTGAAAACTTTATATAATATAATTCATGGTTTATTCTAAACCATACTGTATGGTTTGAGGTTTATTCTAAATTATAATGCATGGTTCAGGGGTTATTCTAAACTTATAATGCATTGTTATGTGGATATTCCAAACTTATATACATAGTTCAAGGGTTGGTTGGCGGGAGAGGGGGTATTTAGTATGCATCTTTATGCAGTTATTCTAAACTTATAATGCATGGTTATGGAGGAATTCTAAACTTATGATCAGGAAGTTATTCCAAACCTATAATTCCTGCATGGCTCAAGAGTTATTTTAAACTTTATAATAAAGCATGGTTATGGAGGTATTCTAAATTTATAATCATAAATTTTGGCTCGAGGATTATTTTAAACTTTATAATATAATGCATGGTTATGAGTCTATTCCAAACTTATAATGCCTGTTTAAACTAATAGTCCATGGTTTGAGGTTAAATCTACAACTTTATAATGGATGGTGAAGGAATTATTTTAAACATTTTGATGCACAGGTAGTTAAGAGAGATCAGGAACCTAAACTTTATATTGCAGCTGTGATCAAATAATATGTTCAGAAATAAACTCATCTTATAAAATTCTCCCAAAACAAAGATTAATTTGCTCTGTCCTGTTAAGATTATAAAATTCAGGGTAGAATGAACTTGATAAATATTTGTTCTGTTGAATTCACTTGTTTTTCCTTTTGACACCCTCCTTCAACCATTTGTGAGTTGGTGGACATCTTCATAGAGGTTTATCTTAGTCATATGTATACACCCACTCACTTAAACGTTTATCTTTATTCAAGTAAATGTACTTATGTAAGTGTATACGCCCACTCACTTAACCTGGCCCATACACTGTAAGCCTTTTCTGTAATTTTTACAGACTTGTTTCTGTAAAACGCCTACAGCGCAGGTCTGTTATCCTGATTACAGACACGAGTCTGTTAATATTTAAGAAATACAGAATTTCGTCCGTAAATATGACATACGGGTGTTTAAATTAAAGTGACGTCATCGGTCTTCCTGGGCGCCATTACTGCGAAGACCGTTAGTTAGCGGCAAAGAGGAATCCCTCAACATCGAGCACTATAGTTGAACACTACAGTCAATACCAAACATTGCAGTTTTAGGTAAGTATACAGTAGGGACACATCTTTGTTTGACATAGATTGATTCTTAGCATTCGTAAAAATGTACGGTAACTGATTTATGAAATAGTAGGAATAGACTCTTCTACTTCTAGACAAATGGACATACATGATACTCACATACACTGTCACAGTGTTAGTGTTAGCACAGAGTAAAAATACACTCTGGTGTTAGTGCTAGGCCTAATATTTTTTCGCATTGTTTTTGGAGGCTTCAGTTCTAGTTGAGGCTACTCGGATGACATAATAATAACATTGATATAGAAAAAAAATATATGAACTATGAAGGGCTAACATTTCTGGGCTTCATTAAGTTCATAGTCTCAGGTCTGTAGGCTAGGCCTACCACTGAAAACCATTATTAAGAATTTATTGAATTGTCAATGCATTGTCTGGATAATGATCTTTAATTTTTTATTTTACTAATTTTTTTAGGCACAGCTTATTGCATCCTTGAGTGTCATTCCTGTCATCTATAGAGTGGGCTACCCAGCCTTTCTCTGGGTTAGTAAAATTTTTTCAAAGGTAGGCCCTACCGGTAAAGAAAAATTATAAGATTGAACTTACTGAAGATAATAATTTTGGGAGTTGAGCGCATTGTTAATGAAAACCAACACTTCCTGCCCACTGCTTGGACCTTGAAATTTGAGGGGTGGTTGGACGAATGGTCTAACCATGGAGCTTATATAAGATCCATGGTCTAACATGGGCCTTAGTTAGGTCAGAATGAAGCCTATGTCTTTGAGTCAAGTGGCGTTGAAAGGAGTAAGATTGCCTGACTAACCGTGTTCATTTTTTCTGGGTCGGTTAAAGCGATTATTGAAATAAAATTCTATGTTTATTAGTCCAAAAATGACCTAGTTCGTGTTGTGTGTGGATGTTAAATCCCATTTCTCTCTCCCAGCTTGAACCTTGGGGTAGGTCTTATTAGCAACAGGTGAATCCTATTTTAGTCTGCTTTTAGATTTACCTGTCATAGGTGCAGAGTCGCCACTGGTTAGTCCAAAAATCTGATCAGAAACCCAAGATGCGGTAACGATAGAAGAAAGCATGGGTTTTAACCCGGAAAGCAATGGGTGTTACGTTAGTTACAGCTACTACCAATATGAATCATGATCAGAAAAGTTCAACCTAACTTAAAGGAGCTAAATCTGTATTCTTTGGCCCCGAGAAATGAACACAATGGGTCGCAACGATAATAATCTATTATGAATGTCTATAAACTGATTTACATTCAGTCGTTTCTGTTTTTAGTGTAATTTGTAATCAGTTATGCTCGGCGAAATATGTCCAAATTGAATGGCAGTCTGGTTATTCCAGTATACACTGATAGTATTTGTGATATGTTTAGTCTGCTGGGGGGGTTGGATGGCTGAATGGTTAGCACGTGCGCGCTGTACCATAAAGTCTGTCATTGAGTCAACTGGCGTGGTTTCGAATCCCCGGTTGTACGTGGCAAGGAGTAGGGTCGCCTGTCCAACCTCGTGGGTTTTTCTCCGGGTCCTCCGGTTTCCTCCCACTGCTAAAGACCCCTACGCGCAAGCGAATTATTAAAATAAAATTAAAACCATATGTTAGTCCTGAAATGACCTAGTTTGTGTCGAGTGGACGTTAAACCCCATTTCTCTCTCTCTCTCTTTAGTCTCCTGTTTGTGGACATGAAACTTCATTTTCTCGCACATTTAGCTCCCTTTTCCTTAATTAAAATGTGTTCTTTTGAAATGGATGTCATAAGAAACAACCTGATTGAGAATATTTGTTTTGCAGGTGCATTTTTGAAATTAACCCAGATAACGCACAGAAATCATGAAAAAGAGGAAGACTCGAGTGTGCCAAAAAGTGGTATAACTAATCACTAAACTGTCAAACTTTAAATGGACGAAGTACAGTTACAACAATAGCAACAATATACCGGTACTGTGAGAAGGTATACGACGGTATAGATGCCACATTTTGGTTCAAGGTGCTTTAAATTCTGGACCACGGTTTGGTTAACATGGTACAGATATTTTAACTGTCCATTTTCATCCGATGCAGAATACTCCCCTGTAGTTCATGTGACAAGAAGGAGAAAAGATGGCTTTCGGCAATGAAACATGTGTCCCGCTGAAAGTACATTCCCCTCCGGCGAACCACAAATCACGGATATAGGAACATTTTGAATCAAAAACGTCAGATGGAAAAGCAGTGGCTAGGGAGCTGGAAACACGTCCAAGAAGAAATACTGTGATATGTATCGTTGCAACCTATGATGCAATAATGTTCATGCATGCAAACTTTAGGGATAGGCCTATTGAGTTTATGGTTAGTTTTTATACACCAGCACATAGTGTGTATAAAATAGGTGATAAGGGACCGAGCCACAACCCTTTTATGAGTGATACTTTGTAAATGAGACTTTAAACGCGCTGCAAGAAATCTTTTTAATGAATCTTCTTAATTAAACTTGATCTTCTTATTGTACTTTTGATAAGATGTCCGTTTACTTTAATGGAAAAATCTTTTGGTCATTTAATTTGTCCATCAACAATTTGGTACATTTGTAAAATTATCCTCAGTTCATTTTGTCTCTAAATATGCGGCCGTGTTGCATAAACATTAAAATTGTGTAACTCTCATCTACACATTTCATTTTGGGACTGGTTCATTAACTTTGTCAGTAGTCGAGTTCCATCTAAATTTTTATCTACGAGACTGAATCAATTTATGCCATTCTCACTAAGGAATGTACATGCTTAGGCAGAGTTATTGTGGAAAATTTAATGATATACATTTTCAAACAGAGATTAAGCTAATCATTGAAACAAGCTGTACATTTAAGGTGGAATAATAGGAATTCTGCATTGATGCTGTTCTTGTTTTAAAGTCATGATACTTTTGGGGTTCAATAATTGTTAGATTTTAAATTGTTCATTTAAACATTTAGAATGCAAATTCATTAATTCCAAAAATTTGAATGATTTCATTATTTCATTAGATCATGTTTTACTGTTATAATTTACTTTCATGTTGTTGATGTTTTAAATAATAGATTTGAGGTAAATATTACAACACCTTGGTTAAGATTTTAGAAAAAGATTTGAGGATAATTCTATTGTAACACACTGATTATATATTTGTAGAATAGATTCAGAATGTTGTTGTTCTACTATAAAAAAAATTCATTTGAATATTATAATGTAAATGTTACATGTACAAGAATTTGAATGGATAATTTCATTATTGTTAAATTTATATTTTGTTGCTACCCATTATTTGATACATCCATGTCAATTTTCACATACATTTTTTAATTGCTGGGAATTTTTGTTTGCTTGTCTTGTGAGAACTTGATAAATATTTTGGAGAGTTATTTCCCTTGTTAATAGGGCAACAAATTCTCTTCTTTTTTTTTAAAGTCGTCACTATTCCATGTACAAATGAATATTATAATGTAAATGTTACATGTACAAGAATTTGAATGGATAATTTCATTATTGTTAAATTTATATTTTGTTGCTACCCATTATTTGATACATCCATGTCAATTTTCACATACATTTTTTAATTGCTGGGAATTTTTGTTTGCTTGTCTTGTGAGAACTTGATAAATATTTTGGAGAGTTATTTCCCTTGTTAATAGGGCAACAAATTCTCTTCTTTTTTTTTAAAGTCGTCACTATTCCATGTACAAATGTTCATTATTATTAATGAAGAATTATGAAAGGAGCTTTGTTTTTGTTGAAGTATACCACCAAACTGCTTGACAGCCAAAGAATATGTTAGATCTCTAAACATTCTCCATATTGTAATATCAAATCTGCTCTTGATCAAATGTGTTAAAAATATGAATTTGTGGTTGACAGGTTTTTTTTTTTTTAAGGCAGTTGTTAGCTTTACTTACTGACAGTAATCTCCAATTTCCAGTATTTTCAGGTCTTTTATTATATCTTAAACTATCATGTAAAAGCATTTTTGAGGAATTAATTGTATCTTATATTGTTTTGAATAATTAAATTCTGTTTTAAATCTTAAGTAAATGTCTTTTTGATGCTTATCATACCATAAGTTTTTTACAGCTGTAAAACATTTTCCGTAAAATTTACGAACAAATGGCTGGCAGCTAGGTTGCCAACCAATGTACGTAATTTTTACGACATGTTCGTAAAAATATATTTACGGTGTGTCGTAATTTTTACGTACATTGGTTGGCAACCTAGCTGCCAGCCATTTGTCCGTAAATTTTACGGAAAAAGTTTTACAGTGTATCTTATTAATGAACAAATACTTTTTATTCAATCCTAAACACAAGCGACTATGTATTGCTGGATCCGAATCATAAACACAATTAAGCGACTATGTTTTGCCAGATCGGGACTATTGTTAAATTGTTATCAATAGTCATTAATAATTACTGCTGGCAACCATTTAATTAAATTATTTAAGACTATTTCCCTCAAATGATTAATCTGACCAGTTACGGTCTAAGGATTGTGATGGTATCTACTGTAAGGCCAGATAAAAGAATACCTGTGCTTACGGTTACGTAGCCACAAAAAATAGGCTCGGTCTTTTGTTTTCTTTGGGTTTTTTTGGGATAAGATTGGATAAAAAATGAAATGAAATGCGGGGTTAACATCCTACTGTTCTGCTCCGACTGGGATAATGAAGACGGGCATACGCCATACAGTGTGCTATGAGGGAAATTTTTCCTGGAAATGTGCTGCTACAGCCTACTCTAATATTGAATTCCAACTGCCAAGGGATTATTTACCTGCATGCCAATGTGTACACGAGACCTGAGTTTTCTGTTCCATCTGAATGACTTGACAGCTGTCTTTGTCAGGCCCTCAGTGCTGTACCACTGACAAGGGGAAACCATGCTGGAAAATTCTGATGAACTTTCTCTGCCAACGCTGTGCGCAAAACCGCAACCCAGGCTAGTGAGCCAGCATCTTACTCACTTAGCCATCGTGGCTCCAAGACTGGATAGAACTAAGTGAGCTAACAAATTAATCTTTCAATAAACTACACCGATATATACTTGAAGTCTTTGTCATATTGTTTTAAAAGAACACTTGACAGTTGGAATTCAATTGCTGTCTTGACAAAACTTTCCTCATAGCACACTGCATTGCTAAATTTGTTAAGGCCAGCTCCATTTTTGTCAAGGTCACTGTGATGTAAATAAGGTTAGGGCACATGATTGTTGGCGAGATTGTAGGTTAGGGTAAGCATTTGGGCTAGGTCCAGGCTTAGGGTTGAGATTAGCTCTAGCCCTGTTTACATCTCGTGACTTATGACGAAAAATTCAGCTAGCCTTGCCTTATCATTTAGCACTAACCACACATAGCATGGCATGCCTGTCTTAATATGCCCAGTTGGTACAGTAAATTGGGATGTTAAACCCTATTTCATTAATTCCCTGAGAACTACTATAGTGAATAAATGTTCAGATAATAACTCTTCATCCATCATGCTGATAACCTATACATTGCTACAAGAAGTAACACTCGGCACTTGATACACAAATTCTATCTCTATCAACAACTTTTTCAAACCAATCACAATCCCCTAATTAAATTATTCCACCACCGAGACCTCAACGAACAAATACACTAGTACAGATAAAACAACTAAAAAACAAGCGCACGTCTCTCACAGTTTACTCCTATAATCATTTTAGTCAGTCCATCTATTTAACTCGATACTATCCATAAAAACAACTCAAAACTATATAGGAACCATTTATTCAATTATGTTTGGATGTTGAACACTGTCACTACTAATAATTGAAGAGATGTAGCCAAAAAAAACCCATTTAGATTTGTAAAATACACAAACATACTGACATCAATTACTGTGTTTCGATACTTTCCACTACTTGCTTTATCGACAGGATGAAAGGAATACTTGCAGCCATCCCATCAAGGATAGTGAAGATGAACAATACAATAATTTAATTATCTGGATCCAAATAACCCATGGAAAAGTTTATCCAAATATCCTCTCAAATTGTCAATTGTTCGGAGCGTTATACTATATTTACAGTTTGTGTAAATATTTCAATTGCATCAATTAATTTTCTTTCATTCAATGTCCATGGATGTTTGTAAAAATGGTTTGATAAATGCTAAAATAATTTGATTATCTCATCATAATGAACACTTACACAGGACATTATACCAGCATTTGATTAACAGATTTCACCGTTAGTGATGGATTAAGGTGAAGAGAGGTACTAGGCTATTCCTCCTACAAGGCTCCTCCTAATCCCCCGCCCTCATCACTAGAGAAAGATAAGATAAGATTTTATTGTATCGAAACATCCATTTAGGACCGCATACAATATAAACATGTACATATATTTATAACAATATGCCAAATAATATTTACAAATAAGACAACAGTAATTTTAATCTAGCTTATTATAATATAGATTTACTAACAGGACAACAGTATGTAATCTACACATTTACCTCAAACGGGTTTGATAATGGCACAGCATTCAATACAATTATGATGCATGGGTATAAATATTATAAATACATAAATAACGAGAAGACTTAGTATAGGTATTTACAGATGAAAGTGTGTTTTAAAGAAGCTAAGTCTCTAACTCAATATCATCCAAAATCTTCGACATTGAAAACACAAATTATTTTTCAATTTTAATCAACATTGATGTTGTGATCTTACGGGAAAAAGATAGGCTTCTGATATCCATTAATTAAGACAAAATAAACATTTTACCGTTGGTACACGAATCGTGTACCATGGTGCATTTCAGCGCCATTTGTAACAAGGGACCCGTAGAAAGAGGCTAGAAATATTCCACAAGTCATGTCAAACTGTGACGCCATATTCTTATCTGGAGAGCATGCGCAATAAATACTATTGGTATAGAATGGAATAACCCGACGCTATAGAGATTGCCATAACTGATTAGAAAGTGCAGGAAAAACAGAAACGATTGAATGTAAAATCAGTTTATATACATTCACATTACATTATTATATGCGTTGCGACCCATTTGTGTCAATTTCTAGATCCAAAATATTAGCGATTTAGCACCTTTAAACACAATTGAGCAAAACCCAGGATGATGATGACAGATGCTAAAGACTACAGTGTGTGTCAGAAAGGCTTATGGTAGAATTAGAGTATAGTTAATTTGAAGTCCCGACCATTACAGAATAGCCTGGAGCCTAATCAAAGTCAACTCTGTAATTCTATTAGAGAGACATTGTTTCATAAATTATTATCTATTGTCCAGTTAATCCAGTAAGAAGTGAGTTGTTCAATTATTGTATGTTCAATGTTACACTCCCAACTCGATTGAACGTAGAACCCTGGATGATAGCAGTGTCAATAATATCATAAACCTTGGCCAGAGGCGCCCCCCCCCCTACCAAAGATATAGGTACATCCACACCAAACCCTCTCACATCATGTGAGAGAGAGAGAGAGAGAGAGAGAGGGGGGTAATTTTGTGACTAATATGTGGTTCAATAATTTGCAGTATTTAGCAGTGGGAGGAAATCAGAGGACCTGGTTGGTTAGACAATCAATCCTTGTCACATACAAGCAGGGGTTGGAAACCATGCCACTTGATCCAACGAACACCGGTCAACAACACCCCACCCCCAGTGTAAAATAGGCTAGGGTATATGAAAATTCTGGTTCAGACTGACATAGAAGGTTAAATAGATGATGTGTTGTGCAATCAATACATCATCTGTGACCACACCCTACAAATCAATTACATTTCAATATGATGGTAATGTTAGTATTTTGTATAAATGACATGAATTATTAACCTGTTAAGCGTGACGTTTTTAAAACGTTAACTACCCCCAGTGTAATTATTCTGACGAAGTGACGAAGAACTATGTACTATGTTCTAAGAATATGTTGGGGAAAATACCTCCAAGGCGTTATATTTCGTCCTACACACAGTGAGTAGCAGTTGTCCAGGACTTAATATATCGTCCTACACATGCTGCGATCGTGGGGGAATTCCCAAGGGATTCCCCCACGTGATGAACTATGTTCTAAGAATAGGTTGGGGAAAATACCTCCAAGGTGTTATATTACGTCCTACACACAGTGAGTGGCAGTTGTCCAGGACATTATATAACAACCTACGCACTTAACGGGTTGATATAGTACATTATTTCATCAGTTTATTTCCTGGTGGTTAAGTTTCGTGGAAAGTTACGTGTGGGTTGAGGCTGAATGGGTAAAGTGTTACATTATGAACAGTTTGAAGAATTGTCAACACTTTGGTGATTTCCAGACTAATATGATACATTTTATTTCTATACCTATATGTGTGTTTGTGCAAAGGGGGGGGGGGGGGAATTCTTCCCAGACCAGACCATTGAGTTTCTGCCACATCTTTTTCAAAATCAAACTGCCAAGGACTCTTTCATGTGATCATATTGGTATGCACATAAAAGACTCCCCGCCCCTTCACACACATTTTGATTCCCCGGCCTTCACACACATATTGATTCGCCCACCCTTCACACATGTATTGATTCCCCCGACCTCCACACACATTTTGATTCCCCCGACCTTCACACATATTTTCATTCCCCCGACCTTCACACATACCTTCAATATATTGATTTCCCCCCCGACATTCACGCACATTTTGATTCCCCCGACCATCACACATACTGATTCCCCCAACATTCATACACATATTGATTCCCCCGACCTTCACACACATATTGATTCCCCCGACCTTCACACACATATTGTTTCCCCCGACCTTCACACATATTGATTACCCCGACATTCACACACATATTGATTCCCCCGACCTTCACACACATATTGATTCCCCCGACCTTCACACACATATTGTTTCCCCCGACCTTCACACACATTTTCATTCCCCCGACCTTCAGACATATATTAATTCCCTCGACCTTCACACACATATTGCACACTCAAAATGCCCTGTCCATTTAACTACTGCAGCCATTTTGACATGTTGGATAGTTAAAGTCTCATTACAGCACTATAGGAA